TGCTACAAATCATCCCGTGCCACTGCCATGTAGAGGGATAGCATCCCTCTGGTTAACAAGTGACCTGGGAGGGGAACCCCTTAGAGCTGTCCCCTCTGGTTATGGGATGGGGCTGTTTCTCTCTGTGACGGTTTTGGCTTTTAATGTTCTTTTTTATTCTTTTTTTGTGTGTATGTGTTTTTGTCATCTGTGGTGCATGCAGCAGCCTGTGGTGCATGCAAGTGGCTCAAATGAAATGTTTCAACACGTGTGTGTTTATGCCTACATGTCTCTGTAGGCATGTATGTGCGGATATGGTTATTTGTGAGAGCTTTATGTAGTATGTCATAGGCCTTTCAATAACATAAAAGTCTATTTAATACCAATTTTGATTTAAAAGTAATGTTTAAAGCTCAGAATTCAGCGGGATCTCTGTTACTCTCTTGATGCACAGTCCTTTGCTAGTGTAATATCGGTGACATAGGTCCATTAATGCTAACTGAACATTTGGATTTCAGTCTTTTATTCCTATTAAGCTACAGTACAGAAAATACCTTATTTCTTTTTAAAGCAAAAAACATAATCAACATGAAATTGATGAGAACTAAATTAGTTAATTATGCAGTCTTGAAATGAAAATGTTGTTTAAGGAGGAATGCTCATTATGTGTTTTCTGATTGCTTGCGCAGCTTCTCTGCATGATGCTGTGCTACAGCACTTATGGGACCGTCCCAGCAGCTCAGAACGCCTTAGACCTGCTGTCTTACACACTTGCACCCTTTGGACATTTTTTGTCAGATCAAGGGGAGGTAAGTTCCTGTGTTTGTGTCTCTCTCAGAATGGTTGTTGTTAGTAGCCTTACGTGATGCTTCAAATATTTCTCCGGTTTAAGTGTATAATACGTATGCAGTTAATATAGCGACTGCTGTATTATGCATGGTAGAAAATATTTTCTGAAAATATGTTCTTCAAAAAAAGGCTCAATTTGACCATGTTGTTAAATCGGCATAGCGGAGTTTAAGTAAATTGAAAACGATTGCAAATGAAAGCAAGTAATGAGCCTCTGTGGCTTACTCCACAGTAATGAGAGAGCTGAAGCTTATTTATTAGGGTGAAAAGAATCTTAGATTCTGGGAAAATGGAAGGAGCACAGAAAGGCTGTGAAACACAAGACTGACCATAACGTTTTGTTTTTTCTTGAGTGTTTAGAGCAAATCTGTATGCGGTGAAAGTATTTCAGGTGTACAGAGTTATATCTACAGAGCTACCCTAATAAAAATGCTTAGCCTCTCATCATGACAGAATGACACGTATACCAGTATGATTCATCTGATGAATTGCTGAGGTAATTATACCCTCTGCAGATTTCTCTAGTGTGGACAGAACTTTAATTAAATGGTAAGCAGCTACTTTCAAAAATCACACCACATATATTTGCGTCAGTGTTTAGATTCATCATATGTGGTCCTTGGAGCAGAGGTTATTCAGTAGAAACAGGAGCTTTGCCCATTGGGATTGAAGTATCGTGCCGGCTGCTTTCGGTGTTAAGTGTGTGAGCTGCATATCACCTGCTCTTTTGTGTACTGGAAAGAAGTACTTGGACCTTTCCCAGTTGGATTAGTAATGCACAATCAAAGTTCTTTATAGAAGATAAGGCATTCTGATTATTTTATCTGCAGTGGGACAGTCGCTAACAAATTGTTTATAACAGAAAACCCATGATTTATATGACTTGGGCTTAAAGTTAAGTGTTTTGTGGGTACAGTGTGGAAGACAGCAGTTCCTAGAGTGCACCACAAGAACACCCCAAGTATGACTCTACAGATTTTCATGCATATCCTTGAGGACTGTTTATGACAGAACTGTTTACAGTACAAATTTATTACAATCTAGACTTGAGAATAATTAAGGGAAAGAAATCTACTAACATTAAAATGAGCAAATAAGAGCCCTTAACTCTGCATTTCTTCCTAGCTATGTGTCAGAAGCAGACTGAAAATCCCAGCCCTCTAAAGCTTAACAGAAGTACATTTTGCACGTAATACTGAGAATAGGCTGAGCTCTGAACTACATTGATGCAGCCAGGATATTGGCATGAATTTCACTGGTAGTGCTGAAAATGAACGTTATGACACTTCTCAGAATATACAGAAAATTTAAAACACCCTTGTGGTTGAATTTTTTGTTAAGGCTGTAATCAAAAGAACAGCACTAAGCTTCCACCAAAGCCCTTTGCTAAGGGATAAAAATTACACAGACTGTGAAAAGCCTGAGCTGCAAAATCGAGTCATGGATTCAGATGTCAATGTTGGAAATGTATGAGGGTAGGAAGCAGTTTCACTGTGATGGTTGGTACCAAATTACTGAGAGACAATATTGGATATTTGGAGGTCCTGGGGCTCAGAGATGGTTTCCATTTCAGTCATCTCCAAAGCCTGGATTTTTTTTTTTTTGTTGGTGGAGTATGACAGCTCCACACAGACAAGAGTAAGGTGTGACTAACAAACATGGTAAATGCAAGAATGAATACAGACTGTTTACCAAAGACACACACAGATGCTGTTCCATGCCCCCAAATACTTCATAAAACATGGTCTATTCTGTCATTTCACAGGACCTGACCAGAGCTGGGAGCTTTGTAATATCATATATCCTGCTGTCATTAGCTTCTCTAGGACTGCTACTTGTAGGATCTCTGGTAAGCTATGATACTGCAAAACCATGTTCATGTCTCTTTGCAGTGTGTTTTCAGAAAACATCTAATTTACTCTGTTAAGCTGAAGTTCTTTTTAAAGTAATACCTCCTGGGATATTTCTGTGTAATTACTGTCATGCTTTACATAGAGGAATCCTGACTACACTTATCCTTACTCAGTTTCTTGATGAAATGGGGATTCAGCTGATGGCTTTTATTGCTTCCATACACAGATGGGTAAAGTATTTTCACTTACAATAGGCAGGCTATGATCTAGTAAAGGGAGCAGCAAATATTGCTGCCTTAAGAATTGGTCACAGAGCCGTTATTGACTCAAGTGGGAGCACGAGTTAGTTCAGAGCATCAGTGTGGTTGTGAATGTAGGGCCAAGGCAACACAGTAACAAAATGATCTGCTTCACGTGTCAGGTGAACGTACTTTTAACAACCATTCACAAAGTTAAGTAATTACTGTTATTTCACCATGATTGGGATCACTGCTGTAGGTAAGGAAGACAGTCTGGCTTACCCAAGTTTCTGCTGTTTTGATACTGCTTTGGTTTTGCAGCAAAATGACCTGAGCTGGAAATCAGAGTAGCAGGAGCATGATTTCTCTTAATATTGAACCTTTCCATAGCTAGATTGGAATGCTTCATTTCCAAGTCATTCTTAGCACTGCTATTAGAGCTCTATGCACCTCAAAAAATTCCAGGCTGAGCTTGGACTCTTTTGCATCAGTAGCGACGCATTTCAACCAAACAGTTGCACCAATGTAAATGAGAGCAGGTGACACAGCAGATGAAAACATCTGCTTCTGCCAGCATTTAGGGAGAAAGGTGTAAAACATTTGCTAATAGGACATGGCAAGCAATGCAGTGGTAGAGCTGAGCAGGTTTTCTAGATGCCAGCTTGATGGAAAGCAGTTAGTTCCATGTTTTTAATTATTTATTTCTTTTCCCTCTGCCTCAGTCCCTATTTTATTTATTTATTTCAGCACCTGTGTTAAGGTTCTCTGGGGAGGGGAGAGATTGTGGCTATCTAGCTACTTTGTTGTTTTAATGTAAGGGAACAGCTGTTGGGCCATCTAACAAGGCTTGAGAAATGGTAAGCAAGCAGAGTCCAAGGCACGATACTCGGAGTATTAGTATGCCTGTCTGCGCTGGGCACACACCAAAATCCAGATCATGTGTCTGGAAGTTTATAAATCTGACATCTTGGAACAAATTTTTCAGGAGAGCAGGCATGAGCTAAGGTTTGAGGCACTCTTCTGAGAATACCCAATTACCAGGATGTGTTGCTAGGTTAGTGATCACAGTGAGAACAGCTGGCTGGGTAGAGCTCTTGAGGTTTGCATTACTGATGCTGTCTGTTTTCTGCTTCGTGTGAAGAATAGATGGTGCTTTAAGGCCGAGGCAGCTACAAAGAACCGGTGCAGGGCTGCCTAGTCCTTCCGACCAGCTTTTCAGAGCTCGCTATTTTTCTTTTATTTAGTTTAATACCATTACTTTTAAGTGTGATTTAATTTCCTCCAGTGTATTGGGCATATCTTACTGTCCACACACTCTTTTCAACCTTAAAAAAAAAAAAATCTGTTTTCAGGACAAACTTTATATTTCTTTGGATTTACAGCTCTTTACATCACCAGTGAAGTCAATCCCACATGACCCCATCAGCTCTGCACTACATCTGTAGTATATAATTTGCACCTAGGCTTTACACTTGGCCACTCAGCACAAGTGTTGTTGATAGCCACAAGAGCATGCCCCTCCTATACAAAGCTGTTGGGCAGATAAATACATTACATCTGCTGGGATATTACAGTCCTTGGGTATGTGCAAGGACCATGACCAGTGCTGCGAGACTGCCAAGCTCCAGAAGGCATCTTAGAGATTGAAAATAGAATCAGATCTTTAAGCTCTTACTTCTTGTCCGTTAGGCCAAGTGTGGACAGACTCCGTGCGTATTTGGCCCCAAATGTGTTTCAAATAAAAACCTAGTAATTATGTTCCTATGTTTGTTTCTGTAGCTACTGTGTACTTTGATTTACTGCAACAAAAACCTTTTATTTGAAATAACTGTCAACTGTGTGCTGCTTTGTGAGAGTCTAATCTTTAAAACTGGATATGGAGAGAAATGAAAACTCCCTGAAGTTCTCTGTTGTCTAGGCTCTAAGTAGTGAAAGTACATGAAGATACACAGGCCACAAGAAAAGTAGCCTTTAAAATCCTGTAGAAATTAATGTACTTTAATTGCATAAGAAGATAAGTTAGGCCTTTTTACAGCAGTACATGGTTTCTGAAGTCGCCTGACTACTTAAAAGCCCAGTAAGGAAAACCAGAAGAGGCTTTACTTTGGGAAATACTACACACTCTCAAAATCTCCTTGGCCTCAAAACGGTGTATAGCACGACAAGGCAGTCTTACAACACTTAACCTGGTAACATTGCTCCTAGCCCTATGCTAGAGGGGTGAAGTTGGCCTAAGAGTCCATGTCCCTGGGCTCAGATATAGACTTTTAAAAAGTTTAACTGATGCCTGTGTTTAGAATTAAGCAGTAATTAAGATAATATATCCAAATTATCTAGTCTGCCACAGTGAACTAGTATTGTGCAATAATTGCTAGTTCATAACATTTTCAGCCATTCAAAACTGCTATTATAAACTTCAGTATTGCATTTATACCCAGGAACTTCACGGGATTTATTTAATGTGCTAACCAGACAGCTAAGTTACTCAACAAACTTAAACACTAGTCAAAAATGATATAGATTTCTGAACCTCAAAACCAGGTGCATTAAAACTGAGGCTTCTTTAGAATGCCATTGGTTTATATATGGATTTAGGCTACAGTGCTAGGCTGCAGTGCCAGATTACCAAGGATGTGTAATTCAGGAAAATCAGATTTATCTATCTTAAACAGCTATATCTACATCCTAAATTTAAGTCAGGAAAGATAACATTTGTGGAACAGTATAATAGATTTTGGTTTTGTAAGCAAGTGTCAGAAGGGTAATAAACTGAACAAAGGGACAGTGCTATCACATTGGCTTGCATATGACAGTCACAAGGGCGTTCAGCCTCCACTGTGTCCCCGAGCTAAGCCTGGCTACCTCTGTGGAAATATCTGGTGCCTGAAAGCATGTTTTAATAGGTAGGTGTGAATCCTTGTGATGTGCACTGCAAAGCAGTTCCTGCACAGATCACTCCTGGGCTCTCTAATAGCATCCCGCTCTACGAGGTATGATGAGGGCTGCTGCCCTAAAGATGCCCCCTCTAGGTTGTATGGAAAGGCTGGCAACAAACAGTTTTTTTAAAAAATGTTTGTTTCCTCCAGTTTTGGCATCTGGTCAGAGCCCGTTCGGACCCTCCCTTTCCCTTACAAGAGGACAGACGCCAATCCGTGAGCCGCCAGCCATCGTTCACATACTCCGAGTGGACGGAGGATAAAAATGAGGATGACTTCCTAGATTTGGATCCCGTACCAGAGACCCCGGTCTTTGACTGCGTAATGGACATTAAAGCGGAGACGGATCCAGCCTCGCTAACGGTTAAATCCATGGGCTTGCAAGAAAGGTAGGGTAGACGCAATGAAGAGAGAAAGTTTGGTCCCAGACTTTGTGGGCTTAGGAGTTCTGTGCATAACAGGAAGCTTCACTGCCTTCATGAATGTCACTTTAAAAATGTGATTTCAAAGCCAAGCTGTGGCTTAATTTCCTATTTGTTTTCAGTCCAGCCATAAATATACAATATACCAGCCAAAGAATGTGTGGTTTCCAGATGGCTGTCAACAAGTCTTATTCATAAATGACATGTTTCCTTTAGGAGATTCATTTGTGTTTGATTAGTATCTTGCCCTGAGATGGCAACTGGAAAGCATGAAAACCACTGTAGGGCACTGAACCTTTTTACTGCTAGAAGGTGGACCCTGTTAATTTTTTCCCCTCATTCATGCTGAAGGATTAGTCCTTTTTCCAAAAGCCAGTTGCGGTTCAAATAGTCATCTATTATAGTTCTCTTATAAATGGGTTAGTCCTGAAGTAAATCAATTCATTTGAAATGAATCTGATAAGGAAATTTGGGGTAAGCTCCTTGAATCAGCAAGAGAACAGAGCTTCTCAGAGATCATCACAGCTGAAAAAAAAAAAAAAGATATTTTTAAGGAAAAAGAAGTCAGAAAAGATGCGGTATTGATTTGTGTTACATTTCTCCATCTTGACTCATGTATCTTACAGAAGGGTCCTTGTAACAGGCATGCTTTGAAAGACATAGAAGCCCCGGAGAGATGTGAATTCCAGATCATGTGAGTGCTGACAGGGGAAGGTGCAGCAGTGTGTTAGGCACTCTGCTGGGTTGGTATCCTTACACTTTCATCCTTGAGAGTTCACTAGATTTAGTGCTTGTCTGCATGTATGTGTATAAGGGTAGGTGAAGAACTTGAACGCCAAACTTGACATGGTCCTCTCCGAAGCTAAGGTTGAAGTTCCTGTCCATTCTCCTTGTGTGGCCTCCAGGAAGCCTGAGTTGACCTTGGTGGCAGCCTGCATCTGTATGCTGTGATCTTTCAGTTGTCTCAGCGAAATGGCAGATCTCAAGGACAGAAATCCTGTCAAGTAATTCTACAAAGATAATGGTGGTATGAATAAGGTTACTGAAAGGCCCAATATGGAATATCACTTTCCTTATTTCCCAGATTTTCAAGCTTATTTGGAATTTTGATAGTTAATATAGTCATCTAAAACTTTAAACAAAGGGTAGATTGTCTAAAAGTGTCTAAAATGACACCAAGTTTCCAAAGCTCTGTGGTAAGAGGGGTGTTACAGCAAAGACCTTTAATTTGCTTCTGAGCTTGCAATATTTTTTTTCTCCCTCTGAAATCATGGTTAGATCATTTGCCCTGAAATGTCACACCTCTTACGTTATAATCTTCTGCTTTAAGTATGAGATTACAGTAACCCCTAGGGCCAATCCCTGAGCCTGTTGATATCAGCGAGTTTTGCCTTGTTTTCATTTTGAGCAAGACTGGTCTTGAAAGGCAGCAGAATCATTTGTGGCTTTGGCCATCCCTGATTTTATTCCATCTCTCTTTAGAGGTGACGCCATTTCTTCTCAGGTGGCAGGCTGCAGGAAAACTGAAAACTGTTTCAAGGGTTACACTGAATATTGACAACAATTTAAAACTGTGAGGGAAGCAGAGATGGAATATAGGTAGTAATTGCTTGAAGTTCTCACACTATATAGAATGTGCATAGTAAGATGTAAAATTTCTTGTTAACGCACACATGTGCTTGAGAAAACAGACGTGATTTCAGCTGTGGCTTGTGCTCTGACAGATTACATTCACACCAGGCATTGGTCACTCTTTAGATGTTACTGCGTTAAGTTACCTACTCGCCCCTCTTTAATCCATCCTGCTTCTCCATCTTCCATCTCTGTCATTTCTTAACCACCTGTACCATTACAAGGATAACCACTAGCCTGAATTTATACAGCACTGAATGTTAGCCTTAAGAAGAATCCATCTCATTTCTGCATCCTAGAGAGATATTAATATCTTTAAGTACATAGTTTCCTCTACCATTAAAAAAAAAAAGGGCATTTGTTACTGGTCAAATGGTCAAATGCAGCTATTTCTTAAGGGCAAAATGTAGGAGCTATATAACAGCTCACAGGATAGAGTCAAAATCTTATTAAATAGCTCACTAAAAAATCAATGTCTACCAGTATTGGTTATGCTTCATGCAAGTTTATTTTCCCCACGACTGTGAATCATAGCAGGAGGCTGGCTGCACATTTTATGGAAACACTCCTGCATCCAGAAAAGAGCTGTCATCCTAGTAACAACTTCTTCTCTGTGAGCTGGTTGTGTCTGTATGCATATGTATTTTTCAACAGCTCCTGCAAGTAGTTCCCGAGTAGATTTTGATAACTGAGTCACCAAATACAGGTCTACTGTGTGAATGTAAAGAATATTACAGATGGTAATCATGATATTCCGTGGTCTTGTTATTGTTTTACAGTTACTTAACTAGAGATTCACTGATGACTTAACTAGAGATTCACTGAGATTCGTTGGACTGGTAGAAAATCAGGAATGCTTTAAAACTGTGTTCTATAAACAGTGCTCAGATTTTGACTTCTTCATTTTATAGCATGGCTAGCTTATATAAATGTCACTAATATTTCTACACTCGAAATAACCAATGATTTTAGCAGTCACTATCACTGTCAAATGTTTGGGCCTTCATTTTACCCTCCTCATGATTAACTGCTGCAAGAAGAGCTTTCAGACAGAAAAAATTACAGTAATGGGTCAGTGTCTCCTGCCCCCTTATTCATGTTGAACTGTTAAGATTTATCTCAAGATCTTATAGCACTGATGTTGTTCTGGGCTAGTGGTAAATGCTTATTCAGGAGGGGTAGTTTGTGAGATCTGACCTGAAGAAAACTAGGGCCAGGATTTTCACTGATGATATTTAAAATGTCATTCCATATTTTGGCATGCAAAAATAAGTACTGCACAAGTACTAAAACTTCCTTGCATTTGTCTACCTAGCATCTTTGAAAAACAAGTTGCTTGTATTTAGGCAACAGTACAGAGAGTTACCTTACTATAGACAACATTTTGAAGGTGTTGGCCTTCATCCTCCAGTGTGTTTTCATTGCAGAAATGATCTTCTAGTCTTGACTACATCCCCTGTTGTTCACTGGTAGTGAGTGACAGTAACATACTCGGTGTAATCAGCCAAGTGGGTTTTTTGACTAAAGCTATCATTTATTTGTCACTGGGACCATATTCATTGCTGGCATGCTGGCAGTGGTGGGTCCATCTCTGCTGTTGTAAACAAACACTGCTCGCTGTCTTTTGCAGGCGAGGTTCAAATGTTTCCCTCACGTTGGATATGTGCACGCCGGGCTGTTCCGAGCAAGGCTTCGGTTATGTCATGTCACCACGGGAACAGTCAGCTCAAGAATACCTCCAGTCAGCATCGAATGTCCTTACTGAAGAGGAGCTGCACAAGAAGGCCTTGGATCCTTTCATACTCCAGGCAGAGTTCTTTGTGAGTACTCTGGCCTCTCTCTGCAGAGTAAGAGTCTAGCAGCATCAGCAAAGTGGGATGTTGTCTCCCTCCTATGAATCTTGTTGCTATCTTCTGCAAGACTAAAATTAAGAAATAAAAAACCCGCTTCTATCAGTTAAGCACTTGATGAAATCCTCAAATTCACCATGACAGTGTCTTTAACATGACAGCCTCTGAAAGGTTGTAGTGCTCTTGCCACTTAGAAATGACAGTAGTAGTTTGGCAATGAAAAACAGCTCTGTTTCCAGAAATTTGTTTGTTTTTCTCAGCATGTTATGTTTGAAGGGGAAAAAAATTGCTAGACTATAGGGGGGGAAAAAAAAGCCAAGTTTGCTATAGGCATGATTCCTTGAAGTCTGTGGAGTTGCCCTAGGGATGAAATCACCCCAAATGACTGTTCTTTACTCTTCAGTGCTTGGCAAGGAGTTATCATCTAAATTGCCTGAATGTTCTCCAGACAACTGGAGCACAGGAAGGCTATGTTGCTCAGCAGGAGCCATATAGAGCATGCTTTAGTGTATGGGTGGTGGTTTCTTTTTTTTCTTTTTTTTTTTTTTCTGCTTTGTTTGTTTTTTTTTTGTTTTGTTTTAATCTGCACAATTATTAATCAGGTATAAGCAATTGCTTTAGTTGTTTTTAGAAACCAGAGAAATATACTTCAGAATCCTGTATACTCTCTTAATTTGGGAGAAAGCTCTTAGCCCATTTCTTATGGGGAAAAGAATGTAGCCTTGACATACGAAGATGGAGCAAGGAGGTAAAAATGGGATTTTGAAATCCTTTGGGATAAAGGTTTAATTCCCAGAAGTTTCGTAAATGGAGGAGAAACTGGTAGCTCCACCAAATAGTGCTTCCATGATTGCTTTATTGTAGTATTATTAATTGCCTCTGGTTAAGCGACACTCTGCCTTGTGAGAAATGAGTTAGGTGAACAAGACCACCGTCTGTCTTTGTGTGTCTTCAGCCCAGTAGTGTGGAGAGCAGGTAACTAGTGAACAGCCATTTGCTCTCCCTGCCCATGGAGCTGGGAAGTGTAGAGAGCACAGAGCGGCCTCGAGGCCCTAGTGCCAGGTCAGCAGGCCAGCCCCTCAGCGTGTGTCATACTTTGTTGCTGGGGAGGATCGTCACCAAGTTATTCCCTTCGCCCTCAGTGCGAGGGACGGCGCGTGAGTCAAAGGAGGCTCTCTGAGGGCCGGTGATTTCTGGAGCAGGATATCTTACGTACCTTCTGTTTGCTGAGTTCTGTGCCTACGCTTGTAATGCAGTTCTAATAATACTAGGAGCTAACATAATGCCATTGTGCGTATTACTCAATGAATCAGTCACGATGAGCGTTTTCCTATTAAGTATTTCAGGAAAGAAAGCCAGTGACAGTAAAAGGAAACATCAATCATGTTTTGGTGGTAAATTGCCAGAAGTACGGTACCATATGTCTCAGCTGACTTCATCTCTTCTCCTCCCTCACAGGCAGGACGTAATGAGTTTGCGCTTTTTATTTCTCTTGTGAATCTAATAATACTACCTGCTCTGCATTTTTTGAACAGGAAATTCCAATGAACTTTGTTGATCCAAAGGAATATGATATTCCAGGCTTAGTGCGGAAGAATCGCTACAAAACAATTCTCCCAAGTAAGTTCCTTACTTTTTAAGTCAGTAAGACACAGTGGTTTGTTCCACATGCCTGAAAGGCTTTGCACTTTGCTTTCCAGGATACTGTGTTCTCACTACCATGCCTTGTCTAAAGGCAGTATTTATGAAGCAGCAACATGGCTTTGAAGCATAAATTAAATTTTGAAAGGGGTATAGAGCATGGAGAATTTAAGATCCCCTGACCACCAGGAGGGCTTAAGTTTTTAAGTCATTAGAATTGAATCATGTGATGCTGTTATACCTGAGACCTCGGTGTGTTTATTCATGTTACCTAGTATTTTCTGTGATAAATTCATTCAGAAGAGCTAAATTCTAGTAGTGTTGTTCTCCTGAGCAATGACTTCAGAAGTAGTTAGTGATTTCAGGTGCTAATGATTGCAAATGTCTAGAGGGCTTTATCCTAAAGTGACTTGAATGTTCTGAAGTTGACATCTAGGGCCTACCTTGAGAATTGATCAATTTCAAATATCCCAAATTGGATCTTTAAACAGAAACATCAAAATTGCTGTTGTTCTTAACACCCACTTCCTGTGATGTAAACTGAGTTGTGAAAGCATATGGTTCATTGCCATATACTTTTAGGAATAATCACTCACCAGGTTAATTACTTGCTGCAAACTCCATCTCAACCTTACAGATATGAGGTGGCAGCCATTGCTATCGCTTTGACCTCTCAAGATTAAAATAACTATCTTGTACCCTGCTTGATTCTGAGGATTAACTATCTTATTCCAAGCCCTGTATGCACTGTTTTTTTTTTTTTTTTTTTCCCCTGGATGAATTCTGAATCTGGCAGTTTGTGCAGTGTTATGTTGCAGTGTTGTTGTGATGTTACTGAGGAACGGAGAGGGCTTCCTCGTTAGTTCACCCGTCTCCAAGAATAGTCCCTTCTGTGCCCTGAAGCTGAAGATCCTAATAAATTATCCATGGACTAAGTCAGACAGGGACTGAAGGCAAGATGAAGGAGAAAAGGATGTTTTTTGGTTTTGGGCATCCTGTGGTTTTCTGGTTTCCAAGCTGATCCAGTGGATCCTGTGCTGCTCTGTATATCTACCTAGCATTTCTCTAAGGTCTGGATGCAGTAAGTAATAATGGCAGGAGCTGCTGAACACACTGCAACAGGGCAGGCTCTCACAGCTGTGATCCCCTTTTTATTTTGGGGACAGCAAGTGTTGGATTATCCAACTAGTGTCAAACCTCAACTCTATCACTTGGGATTTTAGAAATAACTAAAATTCTCCTACCAGCTACATCTCCAGAAGTAATCTAGGCAGTTATCATTGAAAGATAAACAGTCACTTAACATAATGATCAGTTACTTGCAAATCTAGTGTTAATTGTTAGAGACATGTTAACAGCTTCTAGCTCATCTAACTTTTTTTTTCCCTGTAGTAAATTCTTTTTGCAGATTCCCTGATGATGGTGGTAGTGAAATGGCTTAGAATGGTTATTTTTGGTGGCAGAAGGATCTTCCTGGAAAAATGTCATGCTGAGGGGGTTAATTTGAGCATTTCATGAATGTGAAGTTTAATATTTGCAGACAATCCTCTCCTTCCAGAGAAGAGTCCTACAGAATATGATTAAGAAATGGTAACTTTTCCTTAGCATATTAAGAAGCATTTTTTTTGAACATAATGGGAAAATACGCTCTGTGGAGTTCTAGAGGTGTGTGAGAACATGTTGGAGGATGTTGTCTATCAGTTTCCTTGATTTTTTTTTTTTTTTTTCCTCCAAGAGAAGTGTCAAGGCAGACTAATTTCTACACAGTTCTGTTGCCTTTACTCCATTCCAAGTTAGGCCAAACATTTCAACATTGTTATGAGTAGGGCAAATCACATAATCATTATTCAGACTCCAACAGACTTAATGGGTGACTCTATATAGAACCTTGGCAAAAGGTACTCATTGAAAGGGGCCTGAACCAAGTCTAGTGACATTCAAAAAGGTATCTGGCAGCTACTGTTGCTTTTATGTGACTTTGTGTGTGAGAGAGAAGCTTTCAGAATTACTGCCCTGCTGAGGGTCTTCTCTCGCAATCCACTAGCAGTGAGGTGAATAGCAAAGGTGAATAGGAGGGAAGGGTGTTTCAGAGAACCTCAGTACTTAGTTTCAGTACTTTGTGCTTTAAAATGGTAATTTTAATAACTTTGCTGTGCAGATTGTGATTATGTTATCATGTTATAGATAATGTCAGTTGGTTCTGTCTGAGGGCAGCATTTCATGCTGAGCCTGTGTTCATAATACAACAAACTGCTGTGTACTTGGTCCTCTGTGCTTTGCACAGTATCATGCTACTTTTATTTTGTTCTGGTTTCTGAACAGGTTGAATTTTTTATGAAGAAGTTTTGTGATTTGTTTTTTATATTCTCCTGGCAATATGCTGCTGCTTTTTGACGAAGCTTCTGCCAAAAGGATGTTCCTTGTTAATGATGACAAACATGTGTTCCTTGTGAAAGTGGATGAATGTGGGCCTGTGTCAGCTCCTATTAAAATCGGTGGAACAGTTCCCATTGAATTCAGTGAGAAATTCATGGAGCTTCCCAGCTAGAATAATGTATTCATTTGTTGTCTCATGTAAGCAAGAATAATCTTTCATAAACAGCCTCCACAAGGGAAACTCAGGTAGAGCAGCAACTTTACAAAGCACGAGACTGACATTCCTCAATTTCTCTTTAAGCATCATATTTATCACTAGCACATCTCAGTTCAGTGCAAGACAAAACAGGGCAAAGTTATTGTCATCTTACTTTTAGGTAAGGAATGTATGTTTATGGTTTGGGGGAAAAACTGTTTGCTGCCACTTCACAAATAATATTCTCGTGTCCTAGAAGGCAAGATATGTCCAATGACCTAACAAACTGAGAAATACTTTACTAGAGCTAAAAAGTTACTGCTTCTCCAGAGTAATTGTGCAACCCTGATTCTGCAACAGGAATGAGACTTCAGAGGGAGCAAAATGACCCCAACCAGCCTCTCCCTTTTTTCTGTGTTAACATTTTGACATGGGAGCTCTCCAAGGCCATTGCCATCTGTTGTGATGTCCATGTATGCACTAAATGTCTGGCTGTACAAAATATTCTTGTATCTCTGGTTCACTCCTCTGGGCAACTGATAAACTGTAGCTTATCTCTTTACACGTTTCAGATCCTCACAGCAGAGTGTGCCTTACCTCAGCTGATCAGGACGACCCCCTTAGCTCTTACATCAATGCTAACTACATCAGGGTAAGACCTCAATAGTCCAGTGTGTTTGACTGGCCTCTATCAGCCACTGTTAGCGTAAACAGAATTGCAACACCCACTGACTCTTAAAGACATCCTAGCTGATCTGATTACTCTTCTTTCCTGCTTATATTAACTGAAAACCAAGTGTTAAGGTACAACTGTACAAGTTCAGACCTGAGAGAAGCACGCTTCTGCGCTTATTGAGGTGAAGTGTTGTCACCTGGCCTGACTAAGGCACTAGAAAACAAGCCTGCATACGGCCCTTGACCTAGCCAGAGTCACCTCAAAGCCATGGGACTCTCACTGGTGGAACTGTGAGAGTCCAAATTCTGCTCCTGTGTACGTATGTGCAGGAGAAAGAGAGAGAGAGAGGGGAAGAACCTATGCCATGGAGTCTCCATTCCAACCAGTGGTAGCTCTCTGTTTAAAGACTGAACCCTCAAGGTTGTGGTGGGCATCCCTGTTAAAACTGATCTCTTGTTGTTTTGTTGGCAGGGCTATGGAGGAGAGGAAAAGGTATATATTGCTACTCAGGGACCGATAGTTAATACTGTAAGTGATTTCTGGAGAATGGTGTGGCAGGAGCGTTGTCCCATCATTGTCATGATTACCAATATAGAAGAGATGAATGAGGTAATGGTGTTACATACAGTCTGTATTCTATATGTACTGTAGCAGATATTTCTAGCACAGATGCTAAGCCAGTGGAAATAAGTGAAAAGAAGTTAGTGCAATGGCCTGAGTTATCAGAGTCAATGTGAAACTTTTCAGACTGAGATGTGTGTGTCTTCCTGCTTCCTGGTGAGGTTGCTGTAAGTCCTGTTTCACTGTCTGGCTTGGCCTGCTGCTATTTTGGCTAGTTTTCCTCTCCCAACTGACGTAAGGCCTCTATGAACCCAGTTCTATTTGCAGAAACTCTCTGCAGTCCTCTGTGAAGGTGTCAAAAGTGGTAGCACCCAATCCTTGCTTATTCCTACTAAGTAGGGTTTCTGAATATTTTCCAAATAATATTCTGAATATTTATTAGTTAACAATCCATACTTTTCTGGCGTTTATTATGGTTCAATGTGCCTATATTCACCAAACATACTATTTTCAGTTTAAAATCTTGCTGTTTTCCAACTATTCATTACTAACTTCCCTGCTGAAATTCTTGCCCCATAGCAGAGCTGTCAGAGCCATGTGTTTGAATTTCAGTCCACAGGCAGGTATCAGAGTTCAGGCCACCTTCCCTGGCAGAGCAGCATGCGAGGCAGTGGCTTGGGCATGTGTTAGTCTCTTGCAGCATCCATGAGCCCTGGCAGCATAGCGTGTGAAGCACAGTGCTTCCAATGGTATTTCCTAGGCCGCAGAAGCAGTATTTGTCCATGTTCACTCCTGAGAACCCATTGGTAGCTTAGGCGAGGCTTTTTCATGTGGAGAAGTTTGACAGATGGGCACACATCATACGTGCTGAGTTATGCTAGCTTAACTAGTAGCAGAGTGCGCATGTTTATACATGTGCACAAATCTTTAGCTTTCCCCACGTGAAGTAAATTGTTTAAGCTTGAATTTCAGTGAGAAAGGCATGAACCAGGTGGACACACAGAATTACTATGCTTTGCACATTAGTACCCATCAGTTATTGCAGCCAGCTCATTCAGCCAGTGCTCTTAGGATACTGCTGATGTCAAGCATAGTGTGTTGCTGGTCTGAAGGTTTTCTCCCTGAGATTTGTACTATGTTTCAGCTCATATCTGCCTCTTAACTGTTACTACTGTGTGTGGTAAAAGTCTGCTATTACAGAGCTGAAGTGTTAACTTTTTCATGGGTCTGAGGGGCCAGTTTATGGCATGTTAAGGTATTACAAGATAGTATACCTGAATCATTTGAGCACTTTCAAAAGGTTTACCCTTTTTAAGAAAGAGAAGGCAGAGAAAACTTCGTCCAATATGTTATGTGTGTTGGAGTTCTTCTGCTGTAGCTTCTGTGGCAGGGTTGTGTAACAGGGATGCAGAATAACCTTACATCCAGAGTTGCCCTTACGAGCACTGAAAATATTTCATTCATCTTATCAGCCTTGGGAAGCAATGCACTGCAGTGCTGTTGCACTGTGTAAGTGGAACTTGCTGCAGCCTGTATATCATTACAGAGCTGTTGAGTCTTACCTGATACCTATTGTGTCAAAAATTAAATGATGTCAGGGATCTCAGCCATAAATGTAGGGTAAGTGCTTCCATGTAAATGTTGCCTAGACGCATTCCTTTTTTTCCATAATGCATATTAATGTGTGAATAGCAGGAGTCAGAGGATAGAGATTGAAACCCCAAACCTTTGTTCTGCTGTTATGCTGGGAACAGGCTTTGTGTTTCTTTTGGCGCAGTGACTTTGCTAATACAAGTATGAAGAGCTCTGTATCTCAGCCCTCTGTCATGTCTAATCTGAACTGACAGACAGCCCACAGGAATGAGTGGGCAGCTTTACTCCACTCGGAAGCAGAACGACGTCTGTGCTATTGATAGTTGTTAGCGCACTTGACGGTTTTTACAATGGATTCTGCGGCTTAAGAGGAAGGGAAGAAAAAACGCGATCTGCGTAAATAATTTTTGCAGACACAGTGGGCCACATTCCCAGTGGGTTATTAACTGGTGCACTATGCAGATGGAAGAACACAGATTCTCCC